TCAACTCCCAGAATTCCCCAGCCAGCATGCTGGTTGGGGAATTCTGGGAGTTGAAGTCCACCCTTCTTAAAGTTGTCAAAGTTGAGAAACATTGGCCTAAACCCACTAGAACTTAAATCAGTCCCTTGATCTAAATGTAAATGTGTATATAGTTTTCTCTTTTTTCTTTTTCCTATTTATAGGCAGGACATATTCATAATTATATCCATACAATAGTTCTGGGCAGCAAGATTTATTATGTCCTGAACCATCTGGTCTTTCTATTTAGATCCTGTACAGTTCAATCTGAGGCCATTTTAGTAAAAGAACCATAAACAGGGTTAATTAAGAAAAAGCCAGCTGGGGAAAAAACTGTCCTTAAAACATTTGGAAACATACTTTGTCCTTTATCCAGCACGGGGGTGTCTCCACGGGAGGAGCAATTGCTACTGGGAACATTGCACCGCGTCGCGCAGCCGACTAAAGTAATGCCTGCTAAGACTCCATCTGTTCCCGAAGACTCTTCAGGATTCGAGTCCCCCTCCAGAAAGATTTCTCCAGGAGGATAGTCAGTATCACAGGCAGCTGCAAAGATGGGAAATAGAAGGCTGCAAGATCGGTGTGTCACATCCATGTAAAGCAACCTCATTGGTATCTTAGGCTAGATTGTGTTAGGCCCCCAAACGGTCCATGTTCATGCTCAACTGGATGTCTGGTATGTTTTAAAGCAAAAGGAAAACATTGCTTCTACTCTTATTTCTAGGTATACAGCGTGGGAAACATTCAACTATCATATTTTTTTCTGCAGTTAATATTTTCTTCTTTTAGAAACTCCCCAAAAGAGAACAAGGAGATGGTTGGGGAGGTTCAGAAACTGCTAGATGTTTGCCGACCAACCCAGGATAAATTTAGACATGCTAGAGTATATAAAGCACATGTGTGCTTTTAAGTTGCCGCGCTTTATCGTATGCTTAAATAATAGAATAAAAATAATTTCTAAGTTGTTTGAAGATAACCCTTAAATGACAGTAAGTCTTTTTATTTCCCTCTTCCCCCTCCCTCTCTTCACATATTAAATCCCATTATTCTTGGGTTCAAGGAAAAATTAATAAGGCGTGTTTCTTCAGATCCGTTTATTAGGTGCAAATTTTAAAAAATATGCTAAACCGGCCTGCCATTAACCTGAGGCAGTTGAACAAATTTCTACTTTAGCATCCAAAAGGATTTCTGCACCTTGGATTGTTTTTTAATCAGGATTCTATTAAAAATAAAGGTGAGTGGGACTTTGGAGACCTTGTAGGCATACCCATGTAGTTTTCTCAGCAGCAATTTTCCCACTGGTTACATTTAATTGGATAAAATGCTACACATTTAAGTGGAAGTCTACAAATGCGCTAGATCATAATATCCATTAATAATGAATATATTAAGCAATTGGCTTAACTTTTTACTACTGAATGTGTAAAATACATTAGGAAGTTTTCCTTCAAGTCATGTTCAACTCCTGGTAACTTCATATGCATGTCCACAGGGTTTTCTTGGCAGTAATATGGCTCCCCATTGCCTTACTCCAGAATAGTTAGGAGGCGGGATTCTCTGGTGATTTACTAACTAGGATAATATTTCAAAGTCATTCAAGGTCAGCTAGGTTCTGCTACTCGGCTAGGCTAGAAAGTGTAAATGAACATACATATATACGCACTCACATTCCATTTTATGCCAGAGACAGGCAATCTGGCATCTTCAGATGTTTTTTACAATGACCTCAGTAATTCCTGAAGAATGCTACATGAGCTGATGATATTCAACCTCATTTCTTGGGTTTCTCATTTCTTGGGTGCAGATAACAAGCTAGACAAAACTAAAATAGTGCTGGGTGCTCTTGGATTTGGCATGATGTACTGTTGTGTGAACAAGACCATCATGTTAAACCACAATATATTTCTTTGGAAAGACCATGTCAAGTGAAACACCCATTGTGAATTGTTTGCCCAATTTCAGGGTTTAGTATGCACTGCGAACTTGGCCCTGCGTTATCATAACTTTTCCAGGCTAAGTATCCATTCAAATTGTGCAAGATTGGGATTTATATTTGGAAACGAGGAAGAGTGAAAATTACTTCACATTCAGATTTTAAAGAATCACCTCATTCCACTATGTCTAGCCAAACCAAATTCAGGCTTGGATAAGAAGCTGTTGTTTAAAGTTTCCAGAGGTAGTTTCCCATTAATTATAACTTAACAATGCAATGAGTTTCTCTTGAGAAGCTTCTGACCATCATAAGGACTAGTAATTTTTTTTCCAAAAGAAAGCTAACAGAAACATGACACAAAGTCCCAGCCTCCATATTCAATTTCAAACTTGTACATACAGGTCTGGATTGTGCTTTATGGGAGTGGAGGACTGGCTTATATGAATGTTGTAAAATCTCTTCGATTCCAGACTGCTACATGATTCTAAATCTATTTCTTACCAATTACCAGCTTTGAAAGCAACCCCTGAACATCTATGGGCTGAGGCAGCATTATCCACAAGAGTGAATGGCAACTCCAAGATCTGTCTTCACTTGCCTGGAATGCTGGAGATGCAAAGCACGTGGGCATTGCAAACTGTGAAATGATCCACTACAGTTCCTGGTTGATTGGCATCGATGATAACAACTTTGCTTGTTGATAAGGTGCTGGTGAGGATCCACACTCTACTGGATGTGGCATCCATCTCATGCAGTTCTTTGGCCTGTGAGAAAGCCAAAAGGCAATGGGCACATGGGCGGGTGGAGGGGGAAGAGTGAGAGATTGCAGACTGCATCAGAACCACCCTCCCAAGCTGAAGTACTTGTTGGACCAACATGTTGTGGCATGTTTTTGGACAGACTTCTATCCAAGGCCAACTAACAGCCCCTCAACTCTATCATGTAAGTCAGGACTAGGAAACCCATGAACCTCCAAATGTTGCTGAAATTAACCCCAGTACCAGTTAAGTTCTCAGTTGGCTCCAGGCTGTTGCCAGAGCAACATCTCAAGTGGGTTACTATCCCTGAGCTGACTGTGGTTCTGTTCTCTATGAACCCTGACTTTAGCTGAACCTCACCCAGTCTAGAGTGGGACAGCTCCTGTAGTACAGCTAAGGAGTATTAGCTTGCTAAAAATATTCTAGCGAATGTCAGTTCAAGGACGTACAGTAGCTCCTCACTCATCTGTGCATTGTCCCTGTAATCTGCAAATTTGGAATTCCAGTCAGACCGTTAAAGTCCTGAACAAGAAGTAATCATTTCAGTCAATGGAGTTCAACTTCCATTAGTTTTAACGAAATAAATTTCTATGAATGCTGAAGCTTCAATATTCATGATGCTTAGAATTAAGTGAATAGCACTGCTATGCACTGAAATGCAATGTGACTCTACCTTTAAGGAAGACAATGGCAATGGTGTTTTATACTGATTATCCAGCCCAGAAAAAAACAGAATGCCTATGCATTTAAGCAGGGACAGGTAGATTCCCAACCTTTTTCTTTTCTGGAGAGGTGTGATTACTCTTTGTGTTCTCTCCTTCAATCTCCCGATCGCATGTTAACGGATCACATCCTGGATCAGCCTTTTGACCATTTCCAGCATCTGGTTCCACCCCAGGCTTCCAGCCAGTCAGATTAACCCCAGCTGCACACCACAACTGAAAATGCAAAGGAGGAAACAGGGGAGACCAAATGCAGCTTTCTCTCTGCATTGGTTGGGCCAATGTGTGGCTGTCCATAGGTTGTGGTTCATAGCAACGGTAGGACAACCACATGGGGTAGTGGCACAATGAAATGCCTGAAGAGAGGCGGAGTCTCCTACATGTGGGATGCAGCAATCAGGGATCTGCAGGGTAGAAATCTTCCCACTGTAAGAAGGGGGAAAAATTTGCCCATCCTTGGCATTACCTTCATGGTAGGGTCCTTCTCCACTAGGGGGCGACAGTAGACAGGCACGGGGACATTTTTCATCCGATTGTCTTCTTGGGCACCGTTGGGACTCAACTGTTGGGGACAAAGAGACAGCACACTTCATTCATCGGCACAACTTTGTGTGTGTTTCTAAGGCAAGAAAGTTGCCATACGTTTTGGGAAACATTGATTCTTGTAATTTTCAGATGACAAGCTCAGCTGTATGAGTTGCACCCCCACCTGACCTATAGGGGTAAATTGGAGAAGGTTGACCAAAGAGGTGAAGTTGCTATTTTAAATATGCTTCCTAGCAAGTAAGTTCCACTGAATACGGTAGGACTACTTCCTGAGCTAACATTGGTAGGAATGCACTGTAAATGAACCAAGCATATGATTAAAAGCAGGAATAAAACATTAGATTTTTTATCAAAGTTCAAAAGTGCATTCTTTGGCAGAAAAGCACACTCTTCAGTTTTACCATGTTTTAACACAAAACTTTGCGTTTAGAGCCCTAAATGCACGCACACACGCACACACCCTTATAAAATCAGCCTGAATCAATCCACTGCAAGAGGAAGACCTTCTCACTGAATTTTATGGACTGTATATACAGACTGCTAATGAAGAGTCATTACAATTATTTGTAATGTATTGATTGTAAAGGATTGTGAACTCAACAAAGGAATCAGTGTGGAAAGGGAACCATGAAGATTTGCAGTCCTTGCAGATTTCCTGCACAGAATGGCTTTGCTGACACAACTCCCTGATTGTCTCCTTCCTCTTTCTTAGCAAAGGAACGCTACCTGTTTGTATTTAGCTGGCAGGCTCCACCCACACGCCTGTAAGCGGCCATCATCATTCCGGACGTGCTCCCGGACTTGACGGTATTGCTCTCGCTTCTGCTCACGACGTGCAGATGATGTGCAATCGCTGAGGAAAGAAGGATTAGGAGGAAGATAGACCAAGAGGACGAGGAAGGGTTCCACAGCAGTAGGAAGAGTTAGGAAGAATACAGTAAATACAGAGTCACAAGGGAGGAAACAAAGGCAGCAACTCAAGTAAGGAAACAGAGATACATCTCAAGAAAAAAAATTGACAGTGTGTCAAAACAGGGGTGGCCTGGAATCTTAAGTAATATAAAACCCCTTTGGTAGACTGTCATCAACTCCTTTGAAATAGGAAGTGAGAACACGGGAAGCCACTTTCTATCAAGAGGACTCAGAATTTACACAGTATGAAAGAAATTCCTTTAAGTTTTAGAGCAGGGAGGAGAACCAGCAGGTGGACACCAAATCCCATCACTTTCAACTTGCATGGACAAGAAGCTAGGTTGATGGGTAAGGTCCTGGTTCCTTAATCCTGCTCTAGAATTTCTCCCACTACAAACTGATCACCAGTGGTCACATACCAAACTATTCAAATGTAATAAGCAATCTTTTAGCATGGTTTAAATTTCTCCCAAGAATCTGGCATCTACACCTTTCGTATAAGTTTATTTATGACCACAGACATTTTCCTCTCTTCTCTGCAAACATATTCTTCTGTGCAAGTAATCTGAATAAATATTAGTAAGAGAAAAAAAAACTTGTTTTCACGTTGGTTTCTACACTGTTTTTAAATGTTCTGCCCTTAAATCTAATAGGATGAAGGGTGATATTTATTTATTTAATAGCATACAATAACAAAAATGAAAATTTCTAATTGTTGGCTTCTAGCCAATTGTGGAATATGCACAGCTCTGCTGACATCCCATCAGCACGCATTCTAAAAATCAGGAGGAGTCTGGTAGCACCTTTTCCGACTAACGAACATTGTCAAAAGGCCTAAGCTTTCATGAGCTACATGAAAGCTTACGTTTTTTAATAAGATTTGTTAGTTGGAAAAGGTGCTGCCAGACTCCTCCTGACTTTTGGCTACCATAGATTAACTCAGCTCTTCCACAAAGCATACACTTCTAAGAAATCCTTCCAGTTGCCGACAAAGAAAATTATTATTATTATTATTGTTGTTGTTGTTGTTGTTGTTGTTGTTATTAAATTTCTCACCCGCCCATCTCCCCCCGATGTGGAACTCTGGGAGGCTCACAACAAACATTAAAAACGTAAATATATATAAATACATAAAACATCAATTAAAAGCATTACTTAAAAAGGGGAAAGAGAGTCCAAGAAGATGAAAAATCTGAGGCTGAAGACAGCAGGCCTCTATGGGGCTAGCCATCCCCATGCTTGAGGTATTCCCTCCCCACCCCAGGCCAAGTGGCAGAAGCAGGTCTTCAAAGCCCTCCGGAAGGCCAGGAGTGAGGGGGCCAGTTGCACCTCTGGGGGCAGAATGTTCCAAAGAGCAGGGGCTACCGCAGAGAAGGCCCGCCTTCTGGACCCCGCTAATCGGAGTTCTTTTACTGAGGTGGTCCAAAGCATGCCCTCTCTATCCATTATAATCATAGTCAAACATACTCATCTGGGAAAAACTCAAGGGTTCGGCTCCCAGCAGAGATCTGACACATGGTGTGGCTGCGGCGCTGGCTTAACCCGGCTGCTGTGGGAGATTTGTAGTGAATATTCACTGATGGATAGCTCCTTTTTGCAGGTGGAGGGCTGGAGGAGGAACTGAACAATCGGCTGAAGCTGGAGAGGGATGGGGTAGAGACAGAACAAAGCCCAGGTGTTTTGAATTCCGCATCTGACATTCTTCCTGTTCAAAACAGGCAGGGCGCACCATAGTTCTTCTGCTTTGGGAAGGGAGTGAGAGCATGACTTAGAAGCAGAGAACATGGGGGGAAGTTACTGAACCCGCTCTCCCAATGTGCCACTGATCCACTTTTCAAAACAGCTGATGGGGCAGTGAGTTTCTGATAGAAAGTGCAGATCCTCCTAATGTGCCCCCTGCATAAAAACTTCTAAGAGTGTGCTTTTTCCGTTGAGAGATCAGTTCAGTGTAATCATCACAATTAGAAGATGATGGGTCCGGCACCAATTCTGGCAAATGGAGTGAAGGACTAAAACAAATACTTGAACCAGGACCATCAAACTTCCAAGGCCCCTGAACTCAAGACAGCCTCCTCCACAGCCTGCTTAGGCAGTTGCAGATGCTGGCTCACAAGTTATCTTACATCAGCACTTGTGTTTTAAACGTGAACTGGGAAGAAACTAACCACAAAAACTGACTCGTGACAACCTCTACTTCATGAACTGTGCATTCGCACAATAGGCAGAAAAGCTAGCCCATGTTATCAAAAATAAGATGACTGGCATTTGACATCATTCCTGATCAGCATTGACTATACTCCCATATAAAGGTTGTCTGAACCCTCCTTAGGTGGGCAGAACCTCGGGGGCTCTCCCCAGCCCTGTTCAGATAAACTTGGCTCAAGCAGATTGTGTGGTCTCTGCTCATCAATTGGGTCACAGGGAATTTTCCCCTTTGGCAGCCTGATTGAATATCCCTGACCCACACACATTTTCCCTTCCCCTTTCTCTTGTAGCCTTTTTATCTGCTATTAAGAGTTTCTATGTGGTCTGCACTAACTGCCCCATGACTATATAGCAAGTAAGTAAATTAAACACACAAAAACTGCTAAAATAAACAGCTTTCATTTACTTATCTAGGAAAAGGGTAATTAGAGATGCTGTTGGGGCCACCGCAAAGGTGCTTCTGGCTGGGTCGCTGCAAGTGGAGGCAGGCTAACAGAGAAGGCGACTGTGGCATTCGGATTTGTTGGGCTACTGGAGTCCAACAATTGTCCAAAGGTGCCATTTGCAGAGGGAGGCTGCCCTTAGAGATAATAGATGCACACTATCTCACATACCCTGGATTGGTGCTACGAGATTATCCTAGCCACCCTAATATCTTTGTTGACTTCTCACAAGTAAACACCGGTACTTACAATTGCCAAATGGTAGATTTTTTCTTCTCCTGAACAGAAGGATGCTCCCGGGAGGCTCTGCAGACAAAGAGAACAGAGAATTCTGAAGCAGGACATGGCAAAGAGACGGTTTGTCTACGCCTCCATCACTGGGCAGGGCCACAAGCCCAGCTGCTTTTCTGATCACAATGATCCTTCCCACTGCTATTTATCCCTTTAAAAATATTGCCTAAAAGAAGTAGGTGGGCTCACTGGATGTGGAAGTGTGAAACATCTCCTCTCCAAGAAGAGGATCAGAAGGCATGGTGACATCTCAGGGGGGAAATAGCTCAGTTTGGCATAATCATCTGCTAAACTACATCACTTATATGTTGTCTCTCAATTTGCTGCTAAAGATTGCACTATGGCTACCAGCTGACTGATCACAGTCACCAGCTTAGGACAGCTTGACCAACTAATGAAGGATAGATCCCCAATTAAATGCTATCAGTCATGAATGGTTGTATGGAACTCCCAAGTCTAAAAGTAGTCTACTTCAAATGCCAGAGCTGAAAAAAGGCAGGGAGAAAAGGAAGTCCTGTTCTGGAGACATCTAGTAATTTAGCTAGGCATTTTATTTGTGAAGCTGTGAACAGTTTTTAGGGTCATCAGGCATTGCTCACGTACTTGCTTTCTTTTCTTCTTATTTAATGAATGTTATAGTAAAATCTCCAGAACTAAATTCTTACTAGGTGTTTTTTATATGGCCACTGAAGTTATTAGAACCATTTTTCTCAACCTTGGCAACTTTAAAATGTGTGGACTTCAGCTGCTGGTATTCCACTCACAGCAGCTGAAGTCCACACATCTTAACGTTGCCAAGGTTGAGAAACACTGTATTACACATTTGGTCCCATGCAAAATGGCTCCCTGCTAGGTCCTGTCCAAGGTTCTGAAACAGGATGCCTAGCCTACATCGTGGGGACCACATCTGAACCTCAACCTAGATTCAGAATATCTTTGCATGTAATCAGTTCAGACTTCCAGCAATAAGGAGACATTCCTGACAAATATGCTGTTTGAGGGGGAAGAAGAAAAGTGAAGATCAGAAGAAAAAGAAAAATGGGTTGGGAAGGGAAGGGGAGAAATATGTTGGTTTTGCTGTTATGGCACCCACAGCTTGCTTCAAGTACAAATCAATGAAATCTGTACAATGCCAACGGGAATGTGGCTACTTAACAAGCAAAAAAAAAAAAAAAAAAGGCCCCAGCTCTAATGCTGCAACAACAGAGGCTCATCCTCACCTGATCATCTCCGTCCACCTGACAGCCTCCTGCAGTTCCATCAACCGTTCTTTGTACTGGTTGCGCTCCATCAGGACTCGAGCCATTTCCACACGGGTGAAGCGCCGTCTCTGAGCTATAGGAATGTTGTCCTGCAGAGGGGAGGAGGATGGCTTCAACCCATGGGAAACGGAAGGGGATGGAGATTAGTACAACACCAAACAAGTAGGTTAAAAACATTAGCTCCGTTTGGGTCTTCTGTTAATCTCATCCTCCCACCAACTGATTATTATTTATAGACTTGGAAAATCTAGCTCATCATAAACTCATGGGAGGGTAGCATTCTATCTGGAGAAGCAGCGCTGGCCAAAAGGTTTAACTGTAAGGATGGGCAGAAATATTCCATTTTAGAGAGTAAATGTTCCAGGGGACTTTGGTAGATTCTGTTTCCTCCTCTAGATCATGCCAATCAGGTTGTTCCAGAGTGCTCCAGCAGTTTTCTGGAAGTAAATCTTCTCAAACAAATCCTGCTAGACCAAGAATGGCCAGCTCAGCAAAATCCTAAGGAGAAAAAGTATGTTCTCGAAATCCCTGGAATGGAATGGAACATTTTGCACCAACCTACTTAACAGATTTTTGGCAAGCTAATATTAGCACCCAGGTTTAATTTCCTGTCTTTAGATGTTAATAAGAGTTAGTAGGTTCAAATTAAACCTACCCACTGAACAGCTTTAACACAGAGAAGGGATACTTTGGGAAAAACATGATAAAATGCTATAGGGAAAACTAAAGAAATAAGGATCTTAATTGCTATACAACTGTTGCATAGCTGCAGCCTGAATTCCATCTTATTCCCTCCTGTAACATATACTCATTCTTATCCATGTATTATATTCAATTTTCAAATTATCCAGAAACAATTTCACAAATATTTTGGTTCCAGAACTGGGATAGGAGTAGAATGACTGCTTTATAAATGCTTATCATTTAGCACTTATTATGTCTGGCTTTTCTGTAAAATGCTAATAATTGGAGAGAGTTTTGCATCAGAAAAAGAAAAATGCTAGGTGTGCAAAAAGTAACCATGTTAGAAAGAAGACTGAAGAAATGTGCAGTTAATACACAAAACTAAAATCAGCCTGCTCTTCGCAGGACATTCAAGTGTGGCTGATCCAGGAAACAGCTGTTGATCAATTCCATCATGGAAGAACAGCTAGTCCTACTCTTCATATGCATGATTCCCTGGGGGAGATCCCACCAACCCCTGAGCAGCATGGAGGACAGGGTTGGAATGCAGCCCCTTCCATACGTCCAATTAGCAAGGGTTAAAAGGTAATGGGTGGCAGATCAGGTGGCTGGGGGAAGTATAGGTAGATAGCTGGAAAGCTAGCTATGAATGGAGTGTGTGTGAGAGAGAGACAAAAATACCTTGTTAACAGGCTAGAAAGCTAAGGCTACTTCAGCAAGGGAGGGGTCAAAAGTGGGAGAAGAGATGTCACTCATCAGTAGTAGCAATCACACTGTAACTTTCTGTTGATGGTTGGTCTTGAATTTCTTCAAAACAGATGCCAGAGGACCAAACACTCTGCTTCCTGGTTCTGCCTTCACTGGCTGGGATTCACACATAATGTGGGTTATATTTGGATCAGCATAATGTGTGAACACAGGGTTTATGACTTACTTGATACATTTGCAATCCTTAGAGTTCAGCTTAGTGCAATGTGTCAAGAAAGTACTTGAATGGATTAATAGGAAACTATTAATTAATTTCCTGATCTCATGTCAGGAAAGTTGCCCAAGCAAAAAAAGAAGTAAAAAAAAAATTGCTCTCCTGGCCAGAATGGCTGCTGCAGAGGATTCTGGGAGTTGAAGAATACACATTTGGAAGTTGCTAAGGCTGGGAAACATTGTGCTAAGTCAAAAACAAGCAAATCACATTAGGGGTTGCGTGTGAACTGGATGGCTACATTATTTCACTTTGGATTTCAAAGGCCCACAAGATGACGCATGCAGTCTACAACTATTTCATACATATTTTTTTTAAAAAGCATGAATCTTGTGCATGAGACAATATGAGATCAGAAGAAGAAAGGAGGAGGAGAAAGGATTAACTCTTAAGGAATCCTTAAATTCATCCTCCTCCTATAACTACTATTCAGTCGTTTTAACATGAGACTTCCTGATGTTTTCAATACACTCAGCCTGTAAAGTGAATGTCACTCAAGAATGACTTGTTGACAAGTTACCCATTCCCATTTTCATGAGAATACACCCCCACCACAGTGACCATGGACATGATGATGCTCAAATTGAAATGCACAGTGATGTTGTAATCATTTCAGTGTCATTATTCAAGGAAGTGGGAAAGAAAGACCCTCCCCCCTCATACCCCCTCTTTCCCTAGGCATTTTAATAGTGTAATATACCAATTCTGTACAGAGATAGCTGCTTACATCCTCCACCTCTTCTTTGGGCTCTCGGCGGGCAACTATCACCTCTGATTTCACTCTAGGGGAGAGGAAGAATGAAAATTATGAAACAAGTCCAGAGGTTACACAGAAGCAGGGCAGAAACAAACTTGAATTTTCAGAAAGCAGATAGGTTGGGCTTTTTTTTTTCCCTTCCCCCAAATCTGAGAATAGCTAGCAGATATCTTTGCATCATCCCAAGAATAGCTGGAAGACAGCTGGAGATGTAAATCAGCTCGGGGCAATAAGAAGCAATAACCAAGAATTTTAAGAACCATCCCAAAAAAGTATGTGAACTTTCGGTCCCAATTCAGCGGACTCCTATTTCTTCATCTCATTCACGCAATGGTATGAAGGGAGAATCAGATCTGGAAAATGGGGCACAGATAAAAGTTATACAATAGGGTTTTATGAATCTTTCAAAAGAAGGGCTTTGAAATGGATGGAGGAACTCACAAAGTCTGCATAGCTCTTTTACACAACCTTTTTCCTCCACAACATTAGAGGTTCTCCTTGGCTGTTTTTAAAGATTGGTGTTTATGTGTAGGTTTATATGGTTAGGTTAGGAGTGCTGACTATCTCACTGCCTAATGCCCCATCTACCTCACTTCTAGAGAAATTGTTCCAACTGAGAAATGAATCCAAAGGGAGTTGGCTACTCACCTTTTAAGTTCTTCCTCAAGTTCCTTGATACGGGCTTCCATCTTAGTTTTTGCCTGCTTTGCTGCTTCCAGCTCTCCTTTCAATACCTCCTGTTCTCCAGTAAGCTGGTCCACTTTTGCAATTAAATCATTCTTCACAATATTCAAAGCATTTCTGGAGCACAGCAAGTCATCAAAAGAAACAGAAACATATTCTGCCTCAGAATAGGGCTAACATCATAGGGAAAACTTTTGGGGAAGTATCAATCAATAGGATATCATGGGCAGTCACAGGGAGAACACAGGGTTTTTCAACTAAATTTTGTATTTTAATTATTTGGACTACCTTCATGCCAAACTATCAGTGCAACAACAGCAAACAGACACCATTCTTTCCCAACCAAGTCCCTAAATATTAATGTACTGCAACTACAATCCTCCCCAGCATGGCTAATGGTCTGGGCCCAAGAACAGGAAAGAATTCCTCTGCCTTTGCCAACAGTTTGGTAGGTTGGTGTCAAAACAGCTGCAAAAGCTCTTTGGGTGGAGGTCTTGACAGAATGGAGAAATGTGCACATCAGGGGAAGGAAAACAAGATGGGTGAGCATCTTGGCCCCCCAAATACAGCAGCCTTCTCCAAGTAGTGGGGAGGTTGATTTTTTTTTAAGTCTAGTTGGGGAAAGTGAGTTCCTCTCTAATACCATCCCATCCTGGTTCCTGAGAAAGGAGAATTAACCACAACAGCTGATTCTGATAGGAAGGGTCCAGCTTTCAGCCTGTTTATGCACCACTGTAATGGTATGTGGGAATGACCTTGGGAGATGGGGGAAGAGCCAAAGCCAGAGGAATTGTTGGATAAGAGGCACCTTAGCCCACAGTAGGAATGTGGGCAAGGCAAACATCTCAAAAGTGACTCTCCCTAGTTTCTTGGGCTGTAAAGGTGACTGTAAAGGCAGTCTTAAACACTCTCCCCTAAGCTTCTGCAAAAGCTGTACAAGACTTGCAACCTATCAATACTATACAGCCATCTATAACAGACTTGTGGAGGCTGAACTACATTTCCCATCTTCCCTGGCAAAAAGCACAGCCAGTGCACACTATTCCACCTTCAGGGGCCAGGACTGGTCGGCAGAAACTGGAGTGGGCAGGCCACTCCAACACTGGTTCTGCTTGAAAAGCCCCCACATTAGTGGCCTTTAAACCTTCTTTGAAATGCTCAACAACGCACAAATATTTGTCTTGTTTTAAACAACTTTGGTTTGTTTTAACAGCTTTTAAAAAGAAAAAGAACAACAAGAGAAAAAGCTGTAGTAGAGGGATTAAATGCAATTCATCCCAGCTTTTGTAGAAATAGAAACCTTTTATGTTTCAGACATCCAGGACAACATAAACTGGACAAAACAGCAACATGCAGAATCTCATCAACTATTAACTGGACTCATGCTACATTCATAAGGAAGCAGGAGAAGGACAGGAGTCTTACTTGGTCTCTAGCAGCTGTGTATTCTCCATCAAGAGATTCCCCACTTCTTTGCCCATTCCTGGGGGGAGGCGGAAAAGAAAAATAATAAAAGCCACACAAATTTTGATACAGACTGGGGGGAAAAATAGAAGCTGGTGCTTTGCTAACCAATTTTTCTTTTTGAAGAGACATAACCTCATTGTTCAAGAGCTTCTAATTATGTGTTTAGCTACAAAGAACAGAAGGAATGGAATCAGAAGATGTATCCCATTCATCCCAAAACAGAGACTTCCTTCAGAAGTTAAGATGGAAGATTACTTTGGGGGCTCTAAAAGTTGGATCACAAATTTGCTGCCCATGCTCTAAATGGCTGTAATTTTTTAAAGAAAAAAGTCTAGTCAAGGACTAGTTCATACTACACGTTTGCTTTCACTCTGGATTAAGAGGATGAGCCACAGAAGAACCATGATTCTGTAAAGTCAGAATAGGGCAGAAGTCAATACACTGTAGTCAGCAACCTTAGGTTCATTTCCTTATTTAGTCCAGAAGCAAACTGATGGACTTATTCACCATCTAAATATCTAGTAGAATTGTTGCAAAAACAAAAGAGGAGAAAATGACTACACATGCTACTCTTGAAGGAACGCTGATACAAACAAGGAATAATTATAATGAATATCTCCTTTGGAGCTTAACAGCAGATGGCAGCCCCTTTGCTGTTTATAGGGTGGGAAGCCAAGCATGCTCAGCCTGGTCGTTATTTGGACAGAAAATCACTAAGGAATCAAGGGCTGTCAGCTAGGCTGGGAAGTCCAAAAAGCATGCCAGAAGAAGACAATGACAAATCACCTCCAGACTGTTGGCAAGAACACTACTGTATGTGGATGTATCCTTGAAGTCATCAAGAGCTTGAATCAAGGGAGCCTTAATTTGCCTTCTGCACAGGTAGCAGCACCTTGCCAACTGTGGCTGAATTAAAAAAAATAAATAAGTAGGACTGGACCTGGTTTGCACTTGGATGGGACATACATGGAAGGAAATTCTGGGAGACAGGTTAGACTGAGAAAACGAGAAAAGATCCCAATGGTATATCATGTCCATACTTTTCCCAAGAAAAGTACATGGACATGGACATAAAGTCCCCCAGACCTATGCTCAACTTGAAGGAGACTTCATCTTTCAACTTTAGCATGTAATTATTAAATTGATCCTCCTATTACTGGGCCTTCAGGTTCTTACAAACTATCCTCCACCTGGATCTTTTTTAACCTAAGACTTTGTTTACCCAAAACATGCACTCAGTCAGAGGACAACTCCCCAATTTATCATGGCCATTGAAAGATCTGTATTCTCAATATACTGAATCTCTTTTTCTAGAAAGCTAGAGGCACATACAGTACTGAGAGAAGGAGTTCAACAGGTACATTCCAAGCATGGCAGTTTTTAGTTTTTGAGAATCATTGAGCGTTTTTCACAAACAGCAACCTTTCTCTTCCAAATGATTGAACGAACTCAGATGCTGCCTCTAATTTGGATGGACTCCAAACCAAGGAAGAGTCAATGTGGTGGCCCTGGAACCACCTAAGTTTTATCTAAGATAAGTTATACAAAGAACAAGCTCCTCTGGACGGCACTATACTTGCAGCCAATTAAATTGCATTGAAGTTCATTCTTTATAGGACAGATTTTGCTTCAAAGCACTGAGAATTCAATACAGAAGAAATAGAGTTTTCTTCAATCACAGAATGGAAGTGCTACTTTGAATCATGTTGTTCCATTTCCAGATATTAAAAGAAGAGGCCCTTGTGATCAATGGCTAGCAAATTTCTGCTAGCAAATCTCTGCCAGTATCCAAATTCTCTTCTACTTCACACTGTGTAGAAAAAAAAAACTTTTTTTTTTATGTGGGGTCTGTTTAGGTTGCTTTCATGGGACAAACGCACACTCAGGACAAATGAAAAGTTAACAAGAGAATCATGGCAGCATACGTAAGAAGTGAGAACACATCACAACACACTGGGGTAGTGCACAGACCTTCTTCCCACAATTGGATGGAGATGGGTTGAAGATGGTAGAGGAATGTCCACTTCCCAGGGAGAATGGAAAAGCAGCAGCAATTGTGTTTAGAGGACATGAAGAGATTACTCCCTTTTGATGTTTCAGGCAGCATTTGATTTGCATGCCATTTCTTAGAGCACACCAAGAACTAAGTATTTTGGGACAGTCTAAAACGTAAGCCTTAGCAAAACATAACCCATATATTATGTGGTCTGCCACTGTATGAAGATCCAATCAGTGGCCTGCACCATGTAAAACAAAAGGATATTCCAGAGATATAAATTAGGTATTGCTATTCCACAAAGGGAAAAAAAATCCCAAGACTACAGGGATATACAGTATATTTAAAACAGAGGCAATAACCAGGGATGTGTGTCAATTTGATCCAGGCAGAGAATCACGAAAATCTCACTTCGTCAGAAAGCTTCTACTTTTTAAGGTGACAAAGACAGTCTTGAATATAAATGAAGAAAAATGCCAGGCTGGTGGTTCAGCTGGATTTCTAGATGTTAAAAGGAAGAACACCAAGATCATTCATAACTCTTTGGTTAATTCCAAGACTACAAGTAGTGGAATCAGCTGCCCAAAATATACTTAAATATGGCACATTTCCTTTAGTTGCTTGATCTATGCCATTTTATACATTTTCCCTTCATAAGGGATTTTGAACAACTGTGCCAGAGAATCTTTATTTCTTGGGGGCACATATATCGTGTAGAACAGTTTGGGGCAAATTTCAGACTTATGAGATCTACTTATACCAGGTCTACTGCACGGGAACCGTGGTTCAGGAGCAGAACCAACTCCCTAATACTCTCATGGAACAAATCCTGGGATGATCATTCTCCCAAAAGTGTAAATCTATATCAAAGGCTTCAATATTTATGCACACTTACCCAGGAGTAAGCCCTGCTGAATACAATGTGGTTGATTTCTGAGTAAATGTTCGTAGGATTGCACTTTCAACTGCATGGGTGCAGGATTTGGATGGCCCTTGATCAAAATGCCTACAGTGGAGTGCCTATGCTGGTCTATGATCATAATAAAGATTTGATTTGATAGTGGGGTGCCTTCTTCAAATCTTCCCTACAACTGCTCCTTGTCTTGCCTTTTCCTTCTGAGTCCAATCTGGCTAGTGGGAGAGTTCCAGAATGATGTACCTGCTCCTCACTCTTGCACTCTTTGAACACTCAGAGAGAAAAGGTGAACAATGGGGCCTCTTGCAAGAATGGGGGCCTTGGTCAATGCCAATCAATACTGACAGTTAATGCCGATCTTGAATGTAAGTTTCTCTAGATACAGCCTTCTAGCAGCCCAATTTAGAATAGAAAGAGAAGTTTTTAATTGACAGTATTGCTAAACAAATAGGAGTCTGAAATCTCAGCTGCCACACCAAGAATTATCTGGTCATCTCTCAGTAGATCCCTCAGAATTAATTGCCTTTACTTTAATATTCCATTTTTAAAAAGTCCAAAAAAAAAAAAGTGCAGTGAAGATGACCTGATGCAGTTTCAAAATGCAGGTGGCAAGAAACTATGATGGAGCATCTCCACTTACAGAAAGATAGCTATTCAGGGAGAAACCAGCTAATTTTCAAAACTAAAGTTTAGAGATTGAGTCAAGAAAAGCTGCCAAAAGCATCAGCATACACGTCAAGCTAAGTGAATCAAAAGGAAGTGGGCTGCTTAGATAAATCTTCCCGTCAAGTTGCCCCAGGGGTACAGTTTCCAAAAGAAAGAAACAGGGAAAGACACATTTCATGGCCACATCTTGGAAGCTGCTTGAAACATCAAAGCGGATAACCACCTACATCCCAAGAAAGAGGAGAGGAGAATACCTCCTAGATGATGGCAACTGAAGAAGATCTGCTTCTCAAAAAAGCAACTTCATTACCATCACAGGGATCAATACAAAAACAAATGAAGTCCCAAGGAATCCCAGAAAGAAGACAAAAAAGATGAAGAGATGCTGAGTGAAAGGAAAGGGAAAAGGGAAACACCCATATGTTTTAAAACTGGCTTTCGCCTTACCAAAGAAATCATCCCGTACTATGAAAGTCATTGCATATGAGAGAAGAGGAAGGGAAGGAGCAAAGGATCCAGCAGGGGAAGAGATACAAAAGAGAAAAAAAAGGGGAGGGGGAGGGCAGGGAGAGAGAGAAAAAGCAGCCATTAAATACAACTCAGCAAATGGTGACACCGTCTTAGCACATATGTGTATGGAAAATCATTTGCATGACAGCAGGGCAATTCCCCACCTGTCTGATCCAGCTTAGCAGGAGAAGGACCTGGTTCTTGAAAGAAGCCAATCAAGCGGCAACTCCCGAGGCTATCATTGTTCTCCCCATCTGAGCAACAACCTCCTTCCAGCTCACAGAGGTGGTAATAGAAAATACAGCACAGATAAGTTCCAGAAGAATGTAACTTCTGGAGCTAAAGCATGAAGGAGTTCCCTCCCTTCTGATTTCAAAAGAACATCTGCCTGAAAACTTTCTCCTCCTTTCGTAAATAAAGTGTTGTCTAATGAATAGTAAAGAAAGAAACACAAATCAAAATCATATATCCTAATTTTTGTGGGTTAGATCCAAATGCTCTTTCCCTTTGAGAGAGAGATGTTTTTGGAACAGCTCCTTGCATTCAAGGAACAAGGAACTTGGGGATCTGTTTCATGATACTCCTAGCCCATCTCTCAGAACTAGAATACTGCAGATGAAGAATGCTGTTAAAAAGTTGTATTGCTCTACGGTCCTGTTTTCAATGTTATATACATTGACATAACAGCAAGAATCTTTACTCCTATTTAACAAGGAGATTTCTATGCCTACCCTTAGCAAGATGCATAAATAACAAAAGGGGGCAGGGGACCCAGCACATCAAAATGTGCCTTTTCACTAGGCTGCAATCAAATTAAAGATCTTAACCATTTATCCAGTCATTCCCAAAGACAATGAAATGGGATTAAAGGACATAAAATATCCTGGATTCAGTCCTGAGGTTGCAGGCACTCTTCTGTAGTATTAAAAAACAGAACACCCAAACACTAAGGAAGCTCTGATCTTCTCTTTGATGATGATGATGATTGTGTGAGGAAAGTCCTAGCATTTTTACTCTCTTTGGAGAAGCAGAGGAATGTAGAACTGGAAGAAGCAAAGAGAGCAAACCAGGGTTGGTAAACATTTTTTCTATTAAAGGTTGCATTCTCTTGGGAATAATCTGTCAGGGACCATGTTTCCAGGAGCTAGAAGAACAGTAGGTGATGACACTGCTTCTTTCACTCTCTGCTATCCCCCTTTCTTCTTTTTCTCTCTCTACCACTTCCATCTCATCTACCCCTGTTTCTTTGAATTCACTTTCTTTTCTATCATTTCCTAATCTTCTTCTCCTTCTGTGTTTTGGCCCATGCGGACCATAGAACTGCTCTTCACTGAAGCTAAATAACCCAAGAGCTGCAGACAGTCCACCCTGACAACTACCTTCCTATTTCAGAGACCCATGAAAAACATTAAAGCCACTTGGCTTCCTCTGGGCTGTTTCCGCTGCTACCTCTAGAACAAGAAATAAATAGAACAAGAACTTGACGTCCCCACTAGATTACTCTAAAACAAGCTTCCTGCTCCCCCCAGCAGCTAAACACCGTACTTGACTTGATTTTCTTGGATTTTGTGGGCCTCTGATTCTTAAAAATCTAAAACACTGGTGTGCCAAGTCTTGTCACAAGTATCTACTGTTGCCCTTAATATGTGCTAGATAAAGATGGCTTAATCATTTAAGTAAAGTGCAGGGAATATTAATGGCATGGGGACAAGTTGGTCATCCTTAAAACAAGCTTTCCTCTTTAATACTGCAACTTTTATCAAAAGTTCCTGGAGTTAGATTGAGCAACTCCCAGATCTGTGTCCTTTTGCCATATAAGCTTAACTAGTGAGACGAAACACTAAAGTACTTACTGGCTTCCTCTGTTCCATCCATCTAGATCAGTGTTTCTCAACCTTGGCAACCTTAAGATGTGTAAACTTCAACTCTCAGAATTCTGGGAGTTGAAGTCCACACATCTTAAAGTTGTCAAGGTTGAGAAACCCTGGCCTAAAGTCACCAGGAGTTAAACTCGACTCAAGGGAAATTTTAAGTCATACCAGATGGTACCACCTAGCTGGCCTTGGCAGATTTTCAAAAGTTAACTAAGGTTGAACCTGATTAGTGTTTAGTTGAGAGAGTACAAGGAAATCCCAGGGTTGTAGACAAGACTGGGAACTTGAAAAAATATCTGAGAAAGCAGTGACAAACCACTTCTGTACTGTTACCAACAAAACAATGCTGCATCTGTGTGGTCACCAAGAGTTAAGCTCCATTCAACGAAACTATCTTTTAAAGCCAACAGCCTCAAAATAACTGTTGCAAAGACAGGGGAAACATAATTGTTCAAGTGAATTAGTTCTTGATTATATGAGATCAAAGAAAAGCAATCCCATACATTTTCCCCTAAAAGTCCCAGGATTATTATTATGAGTTTGAAAAGGAGAATATCACAAACGAACTGTAGTCTTCAGTAGTCTTTTTTCCTTTCCATTTGTATTAGAAGTAGATCCAGATCCATCCAGTTAGCACTAATTAAGCCAGTGATTTCATTCTTGCATCCCCTAAATATTGCAGGACTATAATTCTCATTATCCTTGACCACAGGCTACCCTGGCTGGGGATGATGCAACCTATAGCCCAACTATCTCACAGGGCTACAATTTAGAAACTGGCAATTTAAGCATCATTCTCCCAAATGAGGACTTTTTAAAGTCACCTGAGGAGGTGGCCGTTGCATTTCAATCTTTGAGTCATGACATGCCTTAACTAATAAACAAAAATAAACTCTTCATCCCACAAGTTATATAACAGGATATTCCACCTCCCACCTTAAGTCCCAAAGTAGATGGGACTCCAGCAGACAGAGTGGAGGGAGGCTGCAGAAAGGAAATGTGAGCAAAAAGCAGAAAGTGATCTCTTGGGTTCAGACACGTAACTGTCCAAACCAATAAAAGGAGAGAAATGTAGAACCAAGTCAACAAAGTGAACCATGACAGGACAGCAGCAGGATATATTACATGTATATGCCCTCATCATTTGCTTTAAAATTCTAGAAAGAGGAAAAGGAGGAAATAAACCAGGAATCTAAATAGAGGAGAAATACACACCTGAAAATTCCCCTATGGGCCATGTCCAGCGAAGCACAGAGAGACAGGAGGAGGAAAAGGAAATGGGGGTAGGAATGGGGTGGGGGAGGGGAAAAAAGTCAATCAATGTTTGAAATCAACAACAACCAAAAAAAAAAAAATCCCGGATTTTTAAACAACTCCCTCCCCCTCAAAAAACCCAAGACAATGATTTTGCCATTTCCATGTCAAAAGGCATGAAATCATAAAGACAAGATCCATCATGACTGTAAACAGCATGAATTTACATGCGGGAGAGCATGAGGGGCATGAGAAAGGAAGGGTCAATGCTTCTGATGAAAATGGAGTTGAAGAGCTTACAAGCCCCTCATTTAACCTTGTTTTCTCACTGTGGCATTTGGTTTCGTGTAATGTTTTTCATTAAGCCAGAATGAGCAAGAACATTTCTTTTGCCTTCTTTGCATTTTTCTGCTTCAGCACAGCAAGGGGTAAAATAAAAACATTACCTTTGGAAACCACAATTTCACTAAAATGCCTAGGACTTTCCCATCAGCTCTGCCAAAACCTCAAGCATCTACCTTAGAAGTCTAAGAAGGAAACTGTCTTCTTGAATTGTTCATCTTCTTGAAACGTTTGGGTTCACATATCACATTGTGCTCTAATGTGTTTTGTTTCTTTCTAGCTTTGTAGGGTGTGTGGACGTGGGAAGGGGGAATGGAATAAGTCACGGTTTGTTTGAGGGCTAGCGGTTTAAAACCAGCGTTTGTTATTGGCTTACTAACTGCAACTGTGGCTTAGCATGACATGCAAATGGAGAATAAGGTTTGTTGGTGGTTTTCTGGCTTACTCCTGGTTTGCTTTTGGGCCTCAACCATACTTCTAACTATCCTATAAGATGCCAGATGAGCACAACAATAAAAGCCTGGAGGGAACCAACCAGGAATTGAGCAAACAAGCTGAGTGAGATGCCATGAAGACCTGGCTCTTCCCCCAAGCACTGGGCTAGGATGGAGGGTTGAGCTGGGAGGCTGTTTGGTCTGGTGCCTGAGAAGGGTACTTTCGTTTAAACCCTAACTGGCTGAGACTAATCCATAAAACATTGCTCACAAACCATAATGGCTGGGTACATCCAACATACTACAGCAAAACGAAACAGGCCACACTGTAGCAACATGCAAAGCTGAGAGGCCCATGAAGCTCAGAAGGCTACATACAATACTAGAAGGCCATATCTGCCTTGCAAGATTCAGCTTGAGCGGACCTACACTGACAATACGTTATTAAGCTGTGAACTGAACCTCCATGGCATTAAAACAAACAGTACATCAGCAATATCATTTGCACATCCCTCGGATTTCTTTGATACACAGACATTCCCTCTTAATTGAGAGGAAGAATGCTTTGTACTCCAAAATCAGTCAGCAACCTAGATGTAACATGAAGTTGTTCCCCCATCCCATGCGACATCTTCCCATCATCCGCGACACTTTAATAAACATATTAATCTAAGATAAAATTAAGGGCCATACACACTGATTTGCTTGAAAGTCTTTGGTTTTTACCTCATGGATTGCCTATCCTCTCTTTAGTTTACTTTATTTTATTAAATGCTTAGAGGCGTATGTCAGATAAACGAACAAAAATCTTGGTTATGAATCAGACCCTCTAGCAGCCGTAACTGGATAGGCTGCTGTTTCTCGCAAGTGGAGAATATGATTCTGATTAGAGAATTCAGCTTTTTAAGAAGATGATGTCATTTTTTGTAATTCCTATGGTTAGGAAAAATAACTGCCTGAAAGGTAAGACAATTGCACAGGCAAGATTCTTAGTAGCCTAAGAATAGGAAGGCATCATTATACCACGTAACTCCTTCCCAGTCTCTAAACCAGTGTTTCTCAACCTTAACCCTGGCTGAAACCAGGGTTTCTCAACCCTAACCCTGGCTGGGGAATTCTGGGAATTGAAGTCCACCCATCTGAAAGCTGCCAAGGTTGAGAAACACTGCTCTAGACTAACGGAATAAATTAAACAAATTAATTAGAAAATGCAGAACAAAATGTATGCATACATGTTTTAATATGCTTCATTTATACAAACTGCAGAATTCTGTAGAATCCATAAACCTGCTTAGTAAATAATTGCCTTTTTATTTTATACCTATATGTTAGATAAGTCCTAGAATCATAACTTGGATTCAAATACCACTGATTGGTTTTACCTCTTCCTTTTCTCTAGAGATTTCAGTTATCCAGTTAAATATCTACTGACTCTTTCAAAGTTGTGACATCTAAGTTTCAAAGGATTGTTATGAGGATAAACAAGGTAAGAATTTTAAAAGTGATGCCTTTGAAATCATCTTTACCTAGTAGATCTGCTCCTTCATCCACGTCTCCAATGGCCTCTGAGCCCACTTCAGTAAGTTCAGTATACAGTGAATCAGTATTGATGCCAAAGGCTTTATTCACTATCCCTTGTGTTGGGCTATTGTGTAAGGAAAAATATTAGAAATACATTGTGGCAAGCAATATTTTCATTTGCCTCGATTAGTCATGGAAGGCACCTTTCCACCCAAAATATTATTTTTTTCACCCCAACAAAAACAGCAAAAGCAGTGCACTACACATTGAGGAGACCAGAAATTTGTGACCCACTGTTTAGCAGGACAACTATTCTACAAGTAGTTCATTTAAATTACAATTAGTGGAAATAGTCCAGCTTCATAAACTATGGTGTCCATTTTAATGATCCACCACCATTTGAACCCTTTAAATGGTTAAGTCTGCCCCCAAAGCATTCCAACCTGTTTCCTGTGCGTTCCAGTCTAGGATCCTGGCACATGTCCAACTCTGGAGTAGAGTCAATATCTTGAAAATCCGACCCCTCGTCACTGCTTCCCATTCCTGTAACAAAGGCATCAGGAACCATATGTGCTCTGGAGCCAACAAAGCTTTTGGACTAAACATGTGCCATTGCTCTTCTGCTTCTCTTGAAAAACACTGAGTAACACAATCTGTGTTTCACAGCATCAGAAATATCACAGAGCAGCCATCCAGAAGGCACGCTGTCTTGTTTTCTCTCTCACATGTAAAGTACACTTTACTAACCTTCTCTTTTGGCACATTAAGAGACCATCAGACAGAGGTCATAGGCACTACACAAATTCCATCCTTGTGCAGAATCAGCAAAAGAGCCAGTGCAGAATAACTTACCTATTGTCTGTTATACCATACAACATATTACACTGAAACATCTGCGATAAAATAACCTTCAAAGGGGGTCCAGAAAACACCAATATAAACAAGGGCTATGAATGGTGGGAGGTGGAAGGAGAAAAATAGTACTCTCTTGCAGTCTCAAATGCCAAAATTACTAAAAATATTTTTGGCAAGTCTCTAAATAATTCTTAAGTTAGCAGTTTTATATCCTAAAACAGGGTTCCTCAACCTTGGCAGCTTTCAGATAGGTGGACTTCAACTCTCAGAATCCTTGCTGGCTGGGCAATTCTGGGAGTTGAAGTCCACCTATCTGAAAGCTACTAAGGTTGAGAAACACTTTTCTAAAATATACTAGAAATATAATTCTTTGGCTTCTTCCTGGTTGCCACCTAATGAAAATCCATAGAATGTGACCCAACCAGGAAGGACTCAAGAGATCATTAGCCTATTGGCTGAACTACACTGAAGAAACCATTCTCTCAAGTATTTTGGTCCCAAGCTGTTGAGGGTCCTCCAGATTAATCCCAGGATCACAAAACTAGCCAGGTAGATGATTAGAACCTAACAATTTCAGAAAACAAGTTAAGCAGGCATCTTGATAAACCAACTATACCTATGCTCACGTTCCTTGTCTCCTGGACCACCTGTACTTCCATATTTCGGCTATTCCGTTTCTCCCGCGCCCGTTTGTTGTTTTTTGTAGTAACGTAGTCATTCATTGTCTGCAGGCTCTCATTCAGGGGGGTCACAGCAGCAGAAGGCACCGATGAGGTGGGGGTGTTAGATTTCGTTCCTGTGGTGCTCGGAGTAGCAGCTGCAGAGGACTGTCCAGATTCAGACATTTCATCAGGTGGGCACTGGCGTGCAATGTTGTTTGGAGAGAGGGGAGAGAAAAAAAGGGAAAAAAGGAAAGGCATCCACGGTGATCAAATTTTTCCCTGGCTCTATTGCTGCCTTCGGAGCATTACAAAGTATGAGCATAGCACGCCAAGCAGCAGTAATGGCAACCACAAAATGAACAACAGGGGCCAGTATGGTACAATGCTTCATGGCTGAGGAACATTTTTGCTGTCAAGACTGTAATGCCTTGCAATGAATCTGTTGGGGCCTGCATGTAGGCATTGCCAAAGCCAGCAGTGGAGTGCCCAAAATGTGCTCTTTCTTTCTGCAAATTCCCTTGTGCCAGATTACGCTGGCTACAACTCTACTCACTTGCAATGGGCTTCCAAAATTAAGTCAGTGACCACATGCAGCACCCAGAAGTGGCTGCAATTTAACCTCCTTACAACTTCTTGTGAGAATTAAATTAAATTAAATTAAATTAAATTAAATTAAATTAGACCTCTAAATATGCTATAAAATCCCATACCCTATCCCATACATGTTACAGTGCATAATTAATTACGGTCTCTTTTTAGTCAACTCCAAAAGGAGTGCAATACATTAAATCAGAGATAAACAACTCAGTGTCCTTCACTTATTCTGATCAATTCCCACTAACCCTTGCCATTAGCTATAGTGGCTAGATTAGAAGTTCAAAAAATCTGGTAGGCAGCAGGTTGCCTACCTTTTGACTACACTCCATAATAGCATTAAAGAACTCTAGCATTTCAGCAGCTGAGGCAGATATGAATTTTGAGTCCAACAATATCACCAAGGCAATGGACTCCCCACCACTGCTCTAAAGCAATCTTACAAATACAAGGCCTAGGGTGATATCCAGCCTACTTAAGAAAAAGATTTATCTCCACCATCACCACTTCCAGTCCGAATCTGAGAAAAAGAATAATTGCTGTGGAGAGCAGTACAACCTGTTAGTAGCTGATCCACTGCCATTTGTTCTCAGAGAGCTGTTCTGTTAAAACCAGCTATTAACTAGCTATTTTTCCTTTATTTAAATTGTCAACTTACCTATTTGTCTGATTTTTAATGAAAGTGCCTAGCAAGATAAATCAAAAGAACCAAATAGGTTTAGGTCTTTGAAGGGACATAAAACAAGACCATAGCATGGGGACTTTAGCCGTAATAGATTCAACAGACTGTTACTGTATATCCATTGCTGGAAACAAATTTCTTCCTGGAGGTCCTCTTGAAAAGACCAGCAAAGGACAGCTGTCCTAATTACCCACCAGAGTTGCCCTCCAGGACTATGAAAGGATCACTGAATTGTAAGGCTAAAGTCAACTAAATTTCACACATGCTGCACCAACAGCACCCAATCAACTGTGCACCCATCCTTAGGACTCCAGAAAATGGGATGACACCTTTGGAAAACTTGTGGGCCAATCTAGGCAGGAATTGACAGTTGATATGACTGCCTGGAGCAGAGAGTTTAAGGCTAACTTGGTCCTTTCCCTGTTGAGTACAAGCAAATGGAGAAGCCACCACTACCTTTGTTCCAATATGACAATGAAAAGAGACTGTAAAAACAGAGCCCCTTTCTTCATACCCTGTATAAAATTTTGGAGAAAAGAAGACAGCAAAACTGATTCTTCTCCCCTCAAGTTCAAGCATTTCCAATTTAGTGTTGTTCCAGCAGCATCCAATTCATAGGAAAGATGCCTGGCTGAGGGAAGATGTCTAAGGGAAGCAAAATAGCCTGAGCTAAATATTTTGCTAATTTTATAGGGTCACATTCATATCAATTATGCATTAGATACACACAACCTCATGGTTATCTCATAGTTCTTTTCAGGAAGTGAAATGAGGTTTCCAACTTAGCCTCCCACTATAGTACTAATATTGAAGACACTTGAACTAGGATGGCCATTCTTCAACTGTCTGTCTCTGATGGAAACGAGGGTGGGACAATTGAGGCTGGCCTTCTAATACAGTCTTCTCCAACCTACCCTCCAAACATGACAGCCAGTGTGGTATAGTAGTGAGGTATTGGACTAGGAATGGGGAGACCCAGGTCCAAGTTCACCATCCACCATGAAAACTCAATGGATTATTTTGAGCCAGTCACACTCTCTCTCAGCCCAATCTATTTCCAAGAATTATTATAGGGATAAAACATAAGCTGCCTTGAGTTCTTGGAAGAAAGGTGAGCAAATAAATAGATCTGGGATTGCCAGGTGTATGAGGGTGGCAAAGAAAGCCCTGCTGGCTAAGAATTCTTGAAAGTGCAATCTTAAAACATCTGATAGATGCCAGGTTAGATTATGTTGCTTGGCACTGAGGATGAAGCTATCTCTGATGGACACCTTATTTTGCTGCGCCATATTTGACATCAATATCAAGCCCCAGGAGATCTTAGTTGTTGTCCAATCAATTAAAAAGAACAATTACTCCCTTGAAAGCAGCAATAGCCTTACTAACCTTTCCCAACCATCCTGGCTCTAACATAAAAGGGCAAAGTAGAATGACAATGAAGACCATGAAAAGATGACTGCTTAACCCTTTGCAGCCATTTACTTCTTTCAGGCAGGTAGGCCCTGCTTTGAAGTCACCTACATGCTATGTTGGTGAGATTCAAAACAGTCCATTTGTGACTAAACATCACAGGGTAATTTAACTTAACAATAGTGCTTTTCCTGTGCAGAAAGTATTAACTTTCATCAGTGTTCTAGGCTCACTTTGGTGACTGGTTATTGGCATAAAGGTTTGCTTGACTATCAGCATATGATGAAGAAATAAATTTTGATTGTAGTCTGTTGGTGAGAAAGGGACAAAGCCATACAGTATTAACAAGCATTCTGTCCTATGCTGTTTCCAGGACCAAGGCTAACATACTGAATTCTTATTAAAAAGGAAGAAGAAGAGTAATATGGATAGTTTAAATTATAAAAATCTCATCCTTGAAATATCTGAAGTGTGGCCCATGGATGATGAGGCACAATCATTGTGGGTTCCAGAAGGGCATCATCAGGCTGAAGCCACAAGAAAGGGGAATCTGATTCAACAGTAGATAGACTGTCCCTGAAGGGAGGGTTCCTTTCTTTCATTAGAATTTCTACATCATCGTGTTGCTGCACTAGATTTGTTAGAGTTTGAATTTGGTCCTTGGGGCCATTCCAACTTCCAACTTGGGGCCATTCCAATATCCATTTTGGCCCCATCTTTGTCATCAGCCCTCAGTGAGCTCTGCCCTTACCTCTGAGCATGTTCCAAAATATTAAGGATAGCAAATGGACATGAAAAGACTGGCTGCATCTGGTCATAAAATATTCTTAGCACAAAGGTAAGTCTGTGGTCCTTCTAAAATTGCCAAAAGTGAGGAATGCTGGGAGGTATGGAAGGGCCATAAGTTGCCTGTCCCTGAAAAGGTAGAAGAAGTTAAGCAAGCAAAAGGGCAGTGAGGAAAAATGGTTTAGGCTGCAAAGGGTTACAGACACAAAGGGTCCTTCTCCCCTGATGAAAACATAATTTGACGAGTAGGCAGGGAAGCTCTCATTTCCATGATAGTTATAAAAAAACCTTGTAGACGGAGTTGGACTGCAGCTGACTGAGGTCACTCAGGTGCCAGTGGTCCACTGCAGGGGCAATCTTGGCCCCCACCTGCCCACGTACCATATCATCTGTGAGGGGGATGTTCAGAGAATTAGGACGCCTCTTCATGCTAGAATGAGAGAGCAAGAGAAAAGAAAGGGGAAAGAGTCAGTGAACCATGGCAGTCTTGAATGTGTGAAAAGCAACAAAACAAACAGCTGCCACAGTAAATAGCATTCAAGTGTTTAGGGGCAATTGTATATAAACCTGCTCCTTATGTGAATTTGGGGCTGAAATGAATAATCTGTGTTATTCAAGCTGCGTAACCACAAGGGCTCTAAGAAGTTGGCACATCAAAGAACCTTCCATAAGCCTGTGTTGTTATGATACAATTCCTTAGAGGCATCAGTCAAATTATTAAACTGTCTCAAAATGGCAGCCATTTTCCATTTAAAGAACAACATCCAAGTTAGTTGGGGAAGTTATGCAGGGGCTGAAATATCTGAAGCCAGCGCTTGGGGAATAAATACGCTTCATGATGATCTTCCCCATCCCCATCCGCATCCTTTGTCACTAAGGTAAGAATGTTCCTTATTCCAGGTTGGTCTACTAGTTCTTCTTAGCCAACTAAAGTCAAGTTTCCAAACTGAGTGCAATTTCTGGTGACGTAATGGATGTGGCCATGCAGTTTTTTGGCAACAGCACACAAGTGGTTGGCCACTGTATTTTTCCATGGACTTTTTTTTTTTATCTCCAATCTAGTCAACAGCCCCAAAATTCTCATGTGGTCTCCTATCCAAATACTAACCAGGCCCAATCCTGTTTAGCTTTTCTTGATCAGCCAGGTTTGGCTAAGCATTTTAATCTGCTGTTAGAAATCAAATAAAGGTAGTCCCCAATAAATGAACAAGTTCCGTTCCCAAGGTCTGTCCTTAAGTTGAACTTGTATGTAAGCCAGAACAGTATTATTGTATAATACTGCATAAGTAGTATTGTGTAATAAACTCAAACCATTGTGTATTTAACTCAAATTTTGCTACAATAGGCTCTGTTCTTTACTATGGATCATCTGTAACCTAGGCATACTTAACTTGGGGACTCCCTGTAATTCTGATTTCTACCACATTCTAATAGACAAAAAAAACCTAGTAAAGTAGACGTAGTAAAGTTTACAGCACTAGAATTCCATTACAGTCTCTCATCAAAGTACTAACCAAGCTCAATCCTGTTTAGCTTCCAAACACAAGGTCCTCCATGTGTGTTGAGGGCTGCCTTCCATTAAGGCCTGTATGATGGACAAAACTAAAGCAAACCGTGGGTGGAATCTGAACCAAAACTGGGTGAGAATATCTTTACTCCGTCAACCATTTTTTCTCTAACACTTTCTTCTCAGCAGGAAGCTGCAAGAAGGGGGACAGACTGACCTTACCAGTGATTGGTCTCTTGCAAAATGGGCTTCAAAGCTTGCACATGACCTTAATACCAAAAGTTGCTTTTTTTGCTCTAAATGGCATAGTGGTTTTGCCAACATTTTAAACAAGAGCCTTTTCCAGTTTGTCTTGGAAATGCCAGGAACTAAAATGAGTACTGCTGCCTATAAAGTACATTCTCTGCCACTGAATCATAGATCTTGTCTAGTAAAATCAAAAGAATTTATGAAAAATAGCCCAAAACTGTATTAATCAAATCATGAAAAGAAGCACAGAAGATTATATTCTTTCTCACAGTATTTGTTCAACCTCAAGTACAGGTTGGCTGTAGCACTGTGGCTAAAAGCATTGGATAACAATTTGAGAAGCTATCAAGAGTCCAGAGCCCTGCTTAGCCTTGAAATGATCTTGGGTTCAATTACTCAGATAATACCCTATCTAACCTAGTTGAGTTGCTCTGAAAATAAAAAGGAGAAAATAATGCACATGACTCAGGCTCCTTGAAAAAGAAATAAGATAAAAACACAAGGAAAAGAACAAGGAAATGCTCTAAGACACCTAATGTGTAGCTTGACCCATCTGTTAGGACAAACTGACATATGGGAATGAAAGCCAGATAGCACAAATCTATTCCAGTGTTACTGTCCTCTTTTTTCCCTGTTTCTCCCAATGTGGATGTGTTTCATCTTCCAGTTGCCATCATTTCCAAGGTTAAGAGGAGGAGGGTAAAAATATAAACTCTCCCCCAGTTCCTGGCTTAGCAAAATACAATTGCTGTGTTCAGATAACATGTAATTCCACAATAAATCATATTATGACTCAGTATGATAATGTGGTTCATACAACATACCTAGATTTCCCAAACTATGCTGAATCACAAAATACGAAACATCATTTTAGTCTAATCTCTTCTGCTAACCAAGCCAAAAAAATTGGGAGAAGGTTTCTCCTAAGGTTCCCCCCCACCAAGGAGCTGTAATGAAGGAACATTTTCCAAATATGCTCCTTTCCAGCCCTATCCCATCAGTGTTTTTAGTTTTCTGAGGGAGGAAGAGATTTGGATATGATAAGGAACTTGTTTCACCCAGGTTTTTATAAACATCTTCCCCTCTTATCCTAAAGATAAGATTGGAGATTGTTCAAATAAGAGTCAAATCTCTTCTTATGTGACTCAGCTCCATTTGATTGATTCCAAATGGGGACTGAACCCAGCTGAGAGGCAACTCAGAACTTCAAGAATAAAACTGAAGCTTCTGGGAAAGGCAGTGAGGTCAAGGCTGATGAGACTCACTCAAATTCCTCTGCGGGTAAGAAGTCAGATTAAGGGGATCAAAAGGAACAAATGTAATCTCCTCATGGGTGGTTAACAAAATCTCTAAACTGCTATCTTTTCCAACATTTTCATCACTCAAGAACAGGGACTTCCACCCTAACAGGAGGCTAAGAGGACCCCTTGCAACTATCTTAAAAAAAAACAGATTAGCTTTCCCCTATCTTTTATGGTAGCCCCAGTCAAGCTTTAAGTCTCTGGGCATCAAAACAACAGAACCCCATCCCACCCCAAATAATTTTGAAAAACTGAAAAAAAAAAACCCTGTAAATATTGTAAGATCACCAAATACTGCAAGAGTTCAGTGCTTTTGCATGAGATCTTGCCAATCTAAACAGGAACCATTTTAAATGCTGCCTATTGCTACTACTTCAAACATTGGGGTCTGGATGATGGAGGTTAGAGGAAGGGAAGTCCAGAGCAGACACTGGGGCAAGTGGGCCTCCCAACATTCTAAACACAATGTATGGAGGTGATAGGTGTGGCTACCAGGCCTGATTCACATTCTGGACTTGTGTTCAATATGACCCAGGAATGTTTTTCTCCAATCTTTAAAAAACAGACGGTCCCACCTCCATTTAGCAGCAGCACGGAACAGCAAAATATGATTGGTCATCAAAAGTTCCATGATGATTATGATGATGATAACAAGAGAACTCAACCCCTTCCCCAGCTTAGATAGATGCCCCCAAATTACCTTTTTCTCCATGATGGGTGGTGACTGAAGTGACAAACAGAACAGCCAACACAAGAGAGGTAATAGCACAAGAAGCAAGACAAGAGAATAACCATTAGAGTGCAAAAGTCATGCAAGCACACATTGACATGCTCAGACAACATGCTCATTTGAACAGAGATTAAAACACTGTCCCACAGCCTTGCAAGCACGCAGTGAAGCAAGGATGATACAATAGTATATACAGTTACACTGAGTTGCTGGTCTCCTGTCTCAAGAAAGATGATGTTTATTTATTGTACATTGGCATAAAACATTTTACCAAGATTGGAAATAGTTGTTTAAACATGGATTCCACTGATTCCACAGTTTTATCATTCAAACAATGGTCTCTCCATAAGTGGCAGAAGATGGCAACTGTATAACATTTGCAAAATACAGTACAATAAGCCATAATGTTGTAGAATTTTTGTTTGTCATGAATGAATCAACATGCAAATGAAGTAATATGTGCTGCATATTGGACAATCGCTCCCACTTGGATCCTCCCAGAAGCTTCTACCAAGGTTTACTACATGTGAAATGGGATCCCTGACTTGTTTCTCTGATATGAACCAGGGATCAGAAACCAAGAACACACCGTAGCTTTCAACTCTAGCTTCTTCTTAGGAGTGGGACAAATAAGGAATTTTTCTGGGCTTGTTAACACTGACACAGATGATATGTTACATATGGAAGACCTATGGCCAGATCTCATAATATATTTATTTTACATAAAGGACAGAAAGAGAGAAGACTTGAATAGAAGACTCACAATGGACCAAGGAATGCTTAACTCTTTCCATAATCTCAACCACATCCCTGCAGATTCTGTTTGCCCAGCGTCAGGGAAATATAAAAATGAAGAGGGGATATATAGATATGTATTTCTCTCTGTCTGATTCCTTTTTCTTTTCTTAACCCAATAGAGCTAAAAGTCTTGGATCTGGAAATCACAGAGAGAAAGGATTAAACAATCCTGTTCAAATCCAAATCAGGTACTTTTATGTGAAAATAAATACTACTGAAGTTCTAATCATGGGTTTCCAATGTAATATCTCATCTGGCTTACTGACAATTTTCTCTATGCCTCCTAAAACTGCACCAGGAAACACATGGATGGATGCATATGCCAATAAGAACTGCAGCTTTCCATCTGATGGTGACAACTGAGAAAAAAGAGCAGCAGGTAAGTTCATAGGTTGGCTTTTGATTGCCTTCGTCTAAAACTTGAGAAATTATTTATTTATTTGGGAGGGAGGGTATACATTCCTTCAGTGAATTCCCAAGACAGGTTACAAATTATCAAAATTTCAGAGAAAAACTCAAAAATTTAAAAATAACAGGATTCAAAAGAACAGCAGAAAATAGGGGTGGATGACTTTCTCAAGTGTCATTTCATACTATTTCACGTTTTAGTGATCAACATTTCTATGTATATTTGTCCCTGTGGTAACTATCGACATCTTCTTGGAGTTAGGGTAGGTTTCTCCTAAACCAGTCATACCACCAACTCAGTGCTTGGGTCACTCCTTGTCTCTATCTAACACATCCTATACCTAGCTTCTCCCATACACAATAAAATAAACAGTTTCGAAATCTCAAAAGTTGCGTCCCTCTCATCCACAAGATCTCTGGATGAATTCAAATACCCAATTTCTGGTCAGACGACAAAAATATATGTTCTTACCTCTCACCATACCCCAATAATATTTTCATAAGGGATCATCAAGACCTGTGCTCACCCAGCAGAGAATCTGACTGTCTGAATCAGTTGTTGCCATATCTTTTTTGACCTATCTGATCTAGTACAAAAACCAGGGCAAGTTCCATGAATTCACAGAAATAAACTTCAATGGAAGAAAGTCACAATAAATGCATATCTGCGCACTCTCATTATCACAAGGAAAACATAACACCATCAATAATCTCAGGAGTTACAAAACATGTTCTGTGCTCATACACACACTCATGTTCTAAAGGGCACAATATGTCTCCACTTTACTAAAACCCTGAGCTCAAACAGCGCAAACCACATGCAGAGGAGAGATAAGCAACGGGCACTGTGCAATAAAGTTGTAATGTCTGAGCCAAATACAAAGGAACATGCATTGACTGGGATGAAGGAAAAAGACTCCTGACATTGGTTGGTGGGTCACAGGAGATTTACACAGGACACTGATTCCCACACCAAATTAGGATTTAATTAAACAACGTTCTTTTCTCTTCCCTGGAAGCAAATCATCTACTTTCCCTTTCTAAAGATAGACAACTTGTCCAACACAGAAGAAGAAATGAGTACTGCTGTTGTCTCCATGATCTCAATCTGTGTTCTATTCCCACTTCTGTAACGTATAACCTCATTGCATGGTGGGCCTGTCCTTGCCTAAGGCATAAGAGCATTTTCACCTGAAAGCAAGAGACTGCCCATAATAAACCTTACTGTGCTCCATTCCCCACCACAGCCTGTAACATGTATTCATTAGGGCTGAAGCAGAAAAGCTTCAGACCTCACACAGGCATATCACCTTTCTGTTGCTCAGCAAAGCAGCCTAGGCCTTTCTAAATTTCCCTGCAAACCTAAAACAGCTGCTTTAAGAGTTGCCTTAACTTCAAGGGAGTTATTTAATCCACTCGCGCTCACCAAGCACTTCTTCCAAATTATTTTCAAAGTGTACATAGCTTAAGTATATAGCTCTTAAGTTAGAATAGGAAGACACAGATATAATTTCCAGCATTTTGGCCTTTGGACTCTCACTTTAAAATTTCTGCTTCTAATCCCAGAGAAGCCAGACTTCTTAAGAAGGAAATAGGAAAAAAAAAAAAGTTAAAGGAAGTTGCGTTCAAACTTTTCAAATCATTTTTAACTTTGCTGTGATATGAGACTCATTCTTGTAGACTATCTGGGTTTTTCTTGAGCTCCTGATAATGTTTTTCTCTCCCACCCTTTCTCCTAAGTTATCTTCTCTTCCCTTCCCCACATTTTATTACTCATTTTCTCTTCTGTAAAGAACAAAACAAAACCAGATTACTGGTGGAACTGTTTGTGTCACCAGCTTTTAGTTGGGGGCAACCCAATTTTAGATCCCAACCCCATCCATTGAAGACCACCCTTCTAAGAAAACAGTCATCATGTAGATTGGCAGGTGCGCCTTGCTTGGACAAAACTGAGAGACATCAATCAGCCTAGGAATCAATACTATGGGAAACTCAGGCTTGAGATTCAAAACTGTAGCCAAATGATAGGAAAAAGGGGTGATTTAGAGAAGGCTAGGAGAAAGTGATGTCTTGTCTGTGGGCTCTCCCCACTATAATTCTGTATTTGTTTCATCACATTTAGATAGAGGAGAGTTGAAGAATGGAGCAGCATTCTCATTCGCTACCCTTCTGTTTGAAATCATGCTTCCCACTGCTGCTTCACAACATCTGGATAAAGTACTGGAACCCTTGGAGACAGAGTGCCACTAAAGACCTAAATCAGCTTATAAGGGCTATGCCAACTGGGGACAGTGAGGCATATTGTGTAACACAGCCAGAGGAATTTCAAGCATTTTTCCTTCACTCTCACCATGCAATTCCCATAACCATCATTCAGCCTGATCCCAAACGGGTAAGGCTCAAAGATGCAGCCTGGCTCACATGTCACCACAAGATGCTTGTTTCGGTTATTTGAAGAGAAAGGTCTATGAAAGATCAGATCAGTCTTTTCTCCTTGAAACTCTAATTCCTCAGGGGCAGAGCCAAGATGCACCCTACCTTCTCCCAGGCAGACCGCTCTCATTTTGGCTATTTCCGGCAACCTGCTGCATCTTGGATCTTTCAATGTGTTCCACATAGGTTTGGATCATCTGCAGAAGAAGGGGAGGAAAAATAAATACAGTGCTTATCCCAGATTCCCACTTGCACTTTAGAATTGTACCCTACTCCAACATTTTATCTGGAAAATGGTTTCTTTCAATGCAAATGGTTTTCTTTCAAAACAAAGTTTAGCTGGCAATGTCCTGGCTTTTCTGTACAGCAGAGACAGGATCTATAACCTTCCAGCTATGGCTGTACTCCAACTCCCATCACACTAGTACAGAAGATCAGAGATGACAGGAACGTAGCCCAACAAATCTGAAAGGAGTTAGGGATATTACTGTCATTTACCTTTAGACCTGTATATTCATTAACTAATCAACTGTTATCCACTCCTAGTAAAGAGGAGATACCTCTGTGTGGCGCTGGTGAAGAGCATTATATTCTTTCTTCATTTCAGATTCACGCTCCTCCAACCGGGAAACTGTTCATTATTTTAAAAAAGAAAAAAAAAGTGGGGTGGGGAGAAATGGATCAGTCTGAGAAAGAAGATACTAACAAGTCATAAACGGAATGAGAATACATCTTCAAGCTTGTTCTAGTTCATTCCCAGTTGATTACAAAATTACAAATGAACAAAAGAGGAGGTTTTGCCGCCAGTTTCCTTGTAGCTGAGTTGATACAGCACATATTTTTCAGGGAGATGTCGTGGATTCCGTCTCTGGACATTTAAGCCAGGCTAGAAACAGCCACACCTTGAGCCAAGTCAGATCACAGGCACATCTAATGCAGTGGTGTCTTTACACAGATTTAGAATGGGTTCTCTATGCCATTAATATTTGGAGAGCCAGGAATTGAAGCAGGAACCTTCTATGTTCCAATAAATGCTTCAAATCTGAAGCATGGTCCTTCCCATACACATTTGAAACTCTAGGAAGCTACTGTCAATCAGAATAGACAGTATGTAGTACACAGACAATGGTTTTGCACCTGATTCAAAAGCCATCTTCGTAACATTCTAATCTATTGCATGCCAATGGAACACAATATGAGATTGTAAGAAGGGTGATCCTGGTGCTTAAGCCAGCTAGTGGTTTGACTATTTGGCAGTTCATCATACATACAGGGAAACCCAACCAAATTCAACAAAATGTGTGTATGACCTGCAGTAGTATAGCCAAACCCTGGCCAGGGTTTTACTCACTTTGGTCTGCATAGTTCTTGGCCTTTAGCTCCAGTTGCCGTGTTTGAAATTCAAGGTGTTCGACCTGAACCTGCAGCTCTTTCTTTTCCTGTTCCAGTGCATCTTCAAATTCAATAAATTTCTATACAAGACATAAATAACAGAAACTGGTTGTGTGAGCAGAGAAATGGTGACTCTTCACAACCAGCTGTGACAAATCAAAGACTGTCCCTTCTTGCAAGTTGTACAATTTTCCTATGAAAATATATCATTTTAAGCATATAACAATCACTGAAAGAAAATTGTGTCACCTGAACTAATTAGTATTTTGAGGCCTTGTTCTTTAGAAAACTAGGAAGACTTTTTTTGGCTTTGCTTAATAAAAACTTTGTCTATATAACATTTCTTGCTTTGTCTGCAATCCTGGACATAGACATAAAGGCAAACGCAAAGACTGTAAAAGATATCTACATTCTTTATATCATGCATAACTTTGGCCAGTTCCCCATTATTGATCTGAAGCACTCTCTACCACTCCTTGCATTGGTACAAAAGTCTCCATTATAAAACTGGCTGTCTGCATCACCAATTCCTATCCCACCTCGGTTGTACCTGTTGTGACCCCTGCTGAACCATGCTATCCAGATTTGTTGTTGTCTGGTTCCTCCCTGGCTCTGCTGTTTCCCTTTCAGCATGTCACTACCTAGTGGAAAACCATTCACCAACCAGGACACAGCAGTGTGAACAGGCAGAGTGCAACTGTTTTTCTTCATTATTTTCACAAGTGACTGAAACTGAGGAATACTGGGAAGCTGGCAAATAATCAACATTAGCTCCCTTTGACATCCCTCATTGTTTTCAGAAAGTTCCAATGAGGAAAGGAGAGGGCAAGGTATCTAATCTGCTGCATACCTATGGCCTCTATTCTTTGTCAATAAAATACTGAATTCTACCCTGCTGTCCTTTCTGTGGCTGGAAACTTAGAGAGAAGTGAATTTTCAAAATAGGAAAGCAGGACTAGTATGAAAAAATAAATGGGAAATAGACTGTTATTTCAGGGAGCAAAAAAAGAGAGAAAAAGCTTTGGTGGAGACCAGTCCACCACCTAGACTCCCAGCATATCCCAAACACATCTCTAGATCACTTGATCGTGCCTCCAAGATAATGGATCGCAAACATAGTTTTTACATACCCTGAAGCTGTGTTGGGACAGTGTTGTATTAAAGAGAAAAACTACTTTTATTCCAGTACACAAAGTGACAATAGAAGACTATTTAAATCATGGGTTAAGGATAGAATAAAGCTAACACCATTTGATCAAGGGGAGAAGACGGGGGTTATCAGTGAATGATGGTGCTGGTCTAAATGATAAATAGGGACTTTTTATCTTATGTACTACTAAGAAACCCATCCATATGAAAGGAATACAACCCAACCCAACTAGAAGGAGAAAGTAGTGCAGGCTTGGGTGAATTCTACCATTCACATGCATACACAAAAGAAAATACAGAGCGAACCATAAATATCCTAATGGAGATTAAATAGACACAAAATGTTTGATATCTGATGTTGCAAGAGTAGAAAAACAGGGGAGAAATAAAATGGAGCAGGCTGGAAAAGGCATGGATAACTGGTTGGTATCCTCAATAGGATCACTCCAAATTGCAATATTTTGTTGCATGTAAACTTGTTAGCCAGTAAAGAGTTGCAGACCAGGATGTATGGAGAAGCTCCTATGCCCTGCTTCATAAAGGATCATTCCATACTGCCGTACTATGTAAACTTTGAATTGGCATGTTAGATGCATATTAGCCTGTGAAGTTAAAGAGTTGTGATCAAGATCTAATGAGACACCTTTATGCATCACTTCATAAAGTCAACATCCAAAGACTGTTCATGGGCTTTTCCAAAATGCCCTCATTTGGGAGGCATTAAAATAGACAAGGAAAAAACAATAACAAAGAGAATATGGGCTACATATCACCATATACAGGAAATGTCTTTTATAATATTCCAGAATATTATGCTACAGAGATGGTCAATAGCACAGCAAAAAGAGAGGGCGGAGCTGGCGTCGCGGCGATACGGCGGGCGATCCTGGGCTCCCAGGATGGC